GCCTGCTTCTCTTGCTGCCTGTGTCTCTGTCTCTCTCTGTGTGTGTCTCTCTCATGAATAAATAAATAAAATCTTTTAAAATAAAATAAAATGTACATACCTGTTGACCAAGCATTGTACTTTAGGGACTCAGTTTAAGGAAATAGTAAAGGAGTAATAGATTTAGCTGATACTCATTACAGCTAGTGGCTAATCTGACCTCTAATAGAGAAATAAATTTTGTTATATGAATATGTCATATAAATAATCAATTACATAAAAAGTATGCTATGTGATTCAATATGATGCCATCATTAAAATGAGGTAGCAGGTGGGACGCCTGGATGGCTCAGTAGTTGAGCATCTGCCTTTGGCTCAGGTCATGATCCTGGGGTCCTGGGATCCAGTCCCACATCAGGCTCCCTGCAGGAAGCCTGCTTCTCCCTCTGCCTATGTCTCTGTCTCTCTCTGTATGTCTCTTATGAATAAATAAATAAAACCTTTTAGAGAAATAAAATAAAATAAAATAAAATAAAAACAAAAACAAAATGAGGTAGTAAGCCTCATTGGTAGGAGAAAATATTCACATACCTGCAGGAATATATTCTAATTTTCCATCCTAAATAATATGTTGTCTGTGTTAGGTACAGTATCTTTTAATAAACAAAGAATGTTATTTTTAAGATTTAGAGAAGAAAAGAAGGAAATGGGATCTGGCAGGAGATGCTGGAATGGGCTGGTAGGGGTGGGGAGTCTGAATGCCCTGAGACATTTTCTGCACCCAGGTGGCTCTTGTGATGCTCAGCAAACATTTCCAACACTTCTCACCCTCCAGAGTGTCTGACATGGAGAGAGGGACAGACTGATTAACTCCCATTTCTCTATGAAAAAAGGGAATAAAATATCTTGCCCATAAATGCAGGAAAAAAGTGATACCTCTAAGTGATTTCCCACTGCCCTTAGGGTCACATTCAAGTCCCTCTCCACATCAAGTGACTGCTCCTGCTCAACTGCAACTTCTCTTCCTACCTGGGCCCCCTTTTCCCCACACCAGCTCTTTTTCACACTTTGAAATGTGCTGACCTCACTCCTGTCTCAGGGCCTTTGCACCACCTGTTTCTTCTCAACACTCTATCCTGCCACTTCCCACAGACATCCACTATCATTCAATTCTTAGCTCCAATGTTACTTTCTATGCACGTCCTCACTGACCACCTGCATAAAGTGGCTTACCTTTCCCAGTCCTTCTCCACCTCACCTTTGTATTTCTTTCATTGTCTTTATCTGAAATTATCTCTTTGCTTGAATATTGTCTATGCCCTCTACCAGAATGCTATGGCTATGTCCTGTCATGCTTGTGGCTATACCCCTTGCCTGACATATAGAAGATGCCCAGTGAACATTTGTTGACTGAATGGTCAGGTGCCAGCTGTATTAGTCAGCATAGGATGAGCTATGCTGCATAACAAAGTCTCCACCATATCAAGCTTAACACAATAAACCTGGCATGTGTTTCCTTATACACATCACAGTCCATTGCAGGCTGAATGATTCTGGCCCATTTTATACCTGCACCTACTAGGACATATGGCTCCCAAGGTCACCATGTTAGGGAAAGAAACAGAGAGAGGGGACACACTGAATAGGTACAAGGTAGGGGAGCGAGTGGATATCTGAGGAAACAAACATCTATGTCACACCAGGACCCACACATCCCAGCCCAGATTCTGCCACAAAGAGACCCCAAAGGGAGCCCTGGAGGCAGAATCACCCTGAATGATGAAGGAAACCAGCCCAGCTTCCAGCTGTCAGGGTCCAACTGCACCTGCCTTCTGTCCACCTGGGCCTCTGCCCCTCCTCAGAGCCTGCACTCCCAGGCTCCTGCCACCAGAACCTTCACCAGACCCTCCTCCCAGGGCCTTTATGATCTTCTTCAGGGGGCAGGCTGTGTCCATCCAGAGCTGGTCCCCAAGCCTCAGACACTGGAAGTGTTTCCGCCTTCGCCCCGGATGACCTCACAGCTGACCAAATGCCTCACTTGGAGCACAGTCAGGGCCAGCTGCCGCCACATCTGTCCTCCACATTGCTGATTTGGCTTTAGGGCTGGGAGGCCCCATAACCAGCTGTGTACTTGCAGGGAGAGGGAGACCTGCTCTGGCCAGGGCTTCCAGGGCCACTCGGGGCTCTGGCTGCAGCTCCAGATGAGCCAGCACCCTAAGGTCTCAGGGCCACAATACAGTAGCCACTGGTCACAATGGTGATTTAAAGCCAAATGTAAATTAATTACAAATTACCCATTGAATGGCTATAATCAAAAAGAAAAAGAACAAGTGTTGGTGAGGATGAGAAACCAGAACCCTGAGGCGCTGTTGGGAAGGAAGGTAAATTGGGGCAGCTGCTGGGGACAACAGCAGTAGGGAGGTTCCTCATAAAGTAAAAAATAGAACTACCATATAATCCAAAAATTCCACCCCCGGGTATATGCCCAAAAGAACTGAAAGCAGGGACCTGAAGAGATACTTGTACACCCGTGTGCACGGCCACATTTTTCACAATAGCCAAGAGGTGGAGCAGCTCCAGGACTCCTCGACAGGTGAATGAATAAACACAATGGGATATGCTTCAGCCTTTAAAAAAAAAAAAAAAAAAGGGCATCTGGCACATGCCACAACACGGATAGGCCTTGAGGACATTCTGCTAAGTGGAATAAGCCAGTCACAAAAAGACAAACACCCCACTTATATGAGGTACCCAGAGTAGTCAAAATCATAGAGACAAAAATAGAATGGTGGTTGCTGGGGGCTGGAGAAGGGGGCAGGGGGGGTTAGTGTCCGATGGGGACAGTTTCAGCTCTGCAGGATGAAAGACTTGTGGGGATGGCTGCGCAACGGTGGGAATGTAGTTCATGCCACTGAACTGCACACTTTAAAACGGTGACAGTGGTAAATTTTACTTGTATTTGACCACAGTCAAAAAAATTTTTAATTAGGATTTAAAAGTCTATTGAAAATAAAATAAGATAAAAATTCAGTTCTCTCGTCATGTCAGCCACATTCTAAGTGCTCAAGGGCTGGCTAGTGGTAGCTGCACTGGACAGGGCAGAATTTTGAGCATTTCCAGCATTGTAGAAGGTTCTGTTGGAGGGCGCTGCTCTGGCTGGTCACCCTTTCTCACGGACTCACAATTCCTCGATCTCCCTCCTCCCCAGGACTTCGGAATTCTCTCCCAGGTACACATGGCCCTGAAGGAGGACACAGAGCTTGACAGGGTATTAACTGTCAGGGCAAAGCACTCTCAAACAGGGTGCCTCACCTACCCCACCATGCGGGAGGGGAGCTCCGGTTAGAGGGGCAAACATCCCCCCTTCTCCCTGAGCTGGCTGGCATGCAGGGCTGGCTGGCATGCCCTGGGACAAGCATACATCCCATAAATGCTCGCTGGATGCCACAGGGGAAAAAGGACTTGACCCAACTACTCTTCCTCAGCTCCTTCAATTTATCTCCTAAAATCCTTTTTATGCTGTGACAAAATGTTTCCATTTAGAGAATTTTTGTATTTCTCAGGTTTTTCAAGAAACTAACCAAACCATCCTATTATCCAAAGTTGGGGTACAGTCGGAGCACGAGGGTGTAAATGAATAAAATGAAGTTACCTGACCAGACCAAGAGAAAGTTCAAGCCTTCCTCCTATTGGCTCATGCAGCACGAGGCATGTGTGACAGAGGGACCCTCCACACCAGGTAATGGTGGGACCAGGAGTCAACCCAAGTGTGACATAATAATAAATATATACTGGTTTCTGCCCCCCAGTTCCTGGCATGGACCTCCTAAACCCTGTAATGTCCCAGGGACAGGGGGACAGAAGCAGTTTTGTTATTCCTAATGAGCCTCTTTCAACGTTACCTGAGTTTATGCTAATGAAGTGACTCTTGGTGGGCTCTAGATAGTTTCAGGATGGGGGGCCCGCTGCCAGAGGCACCAACCAGGCAGTCAGAAGGTTGGAACTTCCAGCACCCATCCTCTGTCCCTGTCTCAGGCTTCTAAGGAGAAAGAGGATCTGGGGATTGAGTTCAATCACCCACAGCCAATAAAATCACAAAATCCCTAAACCATGGAGTTCTGAGAGTTTCCAGGTTAGTGAGCACACTGAGGTGCTGGGGTGTAGTGCTCCCAGAAAGGGCAGGGAAGCTCTCAACCCCCTCCCACCTGCCTTGCCCCACGCATCTTTGCCAAGTGACTACTCTGGAGTTGCATCATTTATAATATACCAGCGATAGTGAGTTGGGTTTTCCTGAGTTCTGTGAACTGTTCTTGCAAACATGTGAAACTTTGACTTATAACTGGTTGGGTCTCCTAACCTAGGCTGTAGTTGGGCCAGTCTTGTGGGACTGAGCCCTTACCCCATGGGGTCCATGTTAACTCTGCGTAGTTAGCATCGGAAGCGCTTGGTGCAGAAAACCCATAGATCTGGTATCAGAAGAGTTGATGTGACTACAGAAGACAGTTCTCCTTCAGCAGGACTCTCAACTGGGCTGGAAGGCAGTGTAATGCTTGGAGAGGAGTGCATATTTTCAAGGCAGTCTCACAGTTAGTGTGAAGACTGCCTATGATAATGCACGGTAAATACCCAGCACGCGCCTGGCACATAGTCACTCATAGGAGCTCAATGACTGTAGGCATCATGGTCGTTTTATTATTACTACACTAAAGATACTTTTCAAAAATAAGATGAGATTAAGTGTGACAACTGTCCAAAGTAAAACACACTCTGCAAATCTAACTGACTTTGGCCCCACCTTGTAGACGAGAGGGCTGAATTCCAGAAAGTCGATGACTCACCTAAGGCAGGAAGAGAAGAAGGTGGACAGGTGGGCAGAGGTCTCTCTGCCCAGCCATCAGCTCATTCGCGTCCCCTTGCCCCTGACCTACCTCTCCACTGGGGCCTTGGGGGGCCTTGCCCCTGGACTTGGTTACCTGTCCATCAGCCCTGCTGCTCCACCCCCGCCACCAGCTCCTACTTACAATGTTCATGAGTGTGAGCAGGTATTTCTGCACATGCTCCTTCCCATGGAACTGGACCACAGAGTCATCCACACCCAGCAGGACCTCAATGTTGTAGTCACCGTCGGCAGCATGCCTTCGCGTCCTGCGCCTTGAGCCATTGACATGCTCCTCCAGGACACCCAGGGCATGGCTGAGGTTATCCAGGCTGCCCAGCAGGGCCCCTAGAAAGACAGAGGACACAGTCTGCAGTAGCAGCCCAGACTTACCAGGTACATCCAAACATGGCAATACCCTAGCTGGGTGCAAATTGGCACCAGCCTGGCCATCATTATTGAAAACTCACAGGACCGAAACTGTCCCCATTTTACAGAAGAATGAACCAAGTTTCAGAGGGGGTAGGGTGCATGCCAAATGGGCTCGGACCCAGAAGCATACAAACCAATGCCTCAGCCATCACAGAGCCTAGGGCCTGACACCAAGGGATGAATGGAGAGGCTGAGAAGCTGGGATGCCCAGCTGGGAAAGTGTATGACCAGAGCCAGCTCTTTTCACCTGTTCACATACTCGAATACCCAAGAAGGGCTGCTCAGGTGTCAAAGGTCTGGTGTCCCCGGTGTGGCCACCACGTGATAACCAGGGAGACTGAGACCCAGACCGGATGGTATGTGTCCCACACCATCTCCTTAGGCAGCTCCCCTTCTGAAACCTTCCTCTGCTGAAGGAAGGCCCCTCATCTGTGGATCAAGCCCACCTACCCCACTCCAGGGTTGATACCTCCCATTGGCGCCCCTCCCCAGTGAATTATGCCTACCCCTGGACACAAGCTGAGGAGATGGGTAGTTATGTGACTCAACTGTGCAGGGACCATGGCCCTCTGGTGACAGCTCTCCAAAGTCAGCCGGGGTGGGGGAGGGGGCCCAAGGGGCCTCAGCCAAGGACCCCAGAATATCATCTCACTGTCTTCACAGCTATGGGATCTGCCTCAGCTCTCTTCTCCTTCTCTGCCACCAGGGCCTGGAGCCCACCCTGGACTAAAGCTCCCACTCCCAGCCCTTCCCTGTCTGCACTCTCAGGGTCACAGCTGAGATGACCAGGCTGACCTTTGTCATTGCCAGAAGCCCCAGACCACACTGCCTGCTAAGTTCCAGTGTCAAACCCTTTGGAAGCCCCCCACATCCCTGTCTTGGTCTCTGTGTCTGTGCTGGGGCCCTAACCCCAGGGTCCAGCTTCTCCTTGGCATTCCCAGGCACCTGCCCTGGGAAGGACTTGGGATCTCAGGTCATCAGGCCATCACCAACCCAGGCTATGGTGTCCAGTCCCTGCAGCCTCTGCTACTGGAGGTGGGGTCCATGCTCCCGGCAGCACCATTCTCTACAAAGAGTCTTCCGGAATAATTCTCACTCGTCCCCAAACTTCTGGTCTGCTGCCTCCTCCAGATAGAAGGAGGAAATCCCTCCATGTCACAGTGGCACACAGCAGATGCTGGAGGCAGAACGGAGCCTCTGAAAGGAGCGTGGCAGCTCCCAGTCCAGGGAGGCAGCCTGCCCGCCAGTCCTGCCCCACCACTCAGCCCTCTGCATATGTCTCCTCAGCCAGGGCTGACAAACGGGCCTCTGTGCTGTACACTGCTGTCCCCTCTTTACAGACAGAAAGACTAATGAAACTCCAGCACAGCAGATTGTTGGCCAGGAGCTCTCTGCTCTGCACCTGCTGTCTGCTAGGTGTGAGGCACAAACCTGCCACCGGCCATGGGACAGACCTATCAAGAAGGGAAAGTGAAGGTAAAGGAGGTGAAGGAGGTAAAGGAGGTGAAGTCGGGCCAGGGCTGAGCAACTGCTGGCATTCCTGTACTTCCTGGGGTCCTTGTGCCCCCTGCTCTAGCCCTGCTATCCCCCAGGGCACCCTGACCCCCACACACATGCTTGCACTTGGCATATGCTGCCCAGGCTCCTCCAGGGCTGGGGACACTGGGAAGGCAGGCATACAGGCAGTGCCCATTCAGAGCTGATCATCCTGCTGGGCTGCCTGGAGATGATTCAGGGCCGTCTTTGCCACTCCCAGAGGAGACGCCAGCTACTTAAATCTGACAGGGGGTTTGAGGAATTGCTACTCTATTTTTACACATTTATTTCTTTGCATTTCCAACAAGCAGGGACAGCTCACCTTTAGAACCACCTTGAGAAGCAGAAAAATGGTAATTTCCATTAAAAAAAAAAAAAAAAAACCTTCCCTGGGGAAGAGGCTAGATGTTACCCTCTGCCCCTCTCAAGCCAAGGGTCACTGACAGGTGGTCCCCGGGCAAAACCAGACCAGAGAGGCATGTACTAGGGCCACGTGGTGTTTTAAAAAGACCTTATTTGGTTGACAGTATTTCAAAATTGGGAGAGTTCATGTTAAACAAAATCTAGAAGAGCCATCTTCTCTTGAGGAGGTGATGAACAGGTAACACCAGGCTGCAGATTGACAGCCATGCCTGGAGGTAGGACACACGGGGACGACGTCCCCAGGCCACCTGCCTCGCTACCCTCACTGCCCTCCTGACCCCCCAAAGGCATCATAGTGTGCTCCTGCCCCTAACCCTGGGAGCTGCCACGCAGTATATCCCTCCCAATATTCCCTGTGGGTGGGAGGGTAAAGGGGCTGCCACCGAGCCAGAGCTGGCTGGGACACATCTTGTAGCTGCTTCTGCCAAGCAAGCACAGTGTTTAGCTACATTTATGTTACAGGTCCATTAAAAACAGCAACATTTCTTAAAAGATGCAACAGAAATGACAATTTTATCTCAAGCATAATTACTACTGCTCAAGTTATTACTTTAATTATGATGATTTGGGGGGGGGGTGACTTGGACATTATGTTCTAGAACACCTTCCCCCAAGACCTAAGCCCAAGGGCAAAGTGCAGATGAGGAGAGGCAGGTGACAACCCTGCCTTGCAGCCTGGCCCCTGGAAGCCTCCTCCCTGCTCAGGCCTGGCAGGACATAGGAGCAACCCCAGGATCGGCGGGGTCTGCCAAGACGGCCCAAGGCCACATGAGCACTGACAGACCCAGCAGCCAGGCTGACATTCCTTCCACCATGCCAATCTTGGATATTTCTTCAGTTTCCCAGCAATGGGCTCAGTCCTGAAGCCCAGGCCATGCAGAGACCCCGACCGACCACACCCTGGTCCTAGCAGGCCTGTCTCTCAAGCCAAGTCCTGCTGCAGGGAGATCAGCTCCCGTCTGGTCCTGGTCAGCTGCCTAGTAATTCCCTGACACCAACGCTGGCCTTCTGGGCTTGTCCATGTGCACTTGGTTGCTTCCCTGGCCTGAGGCCCTCTGCTTCTGTTGGTCCCTTAGTGTCAGAGGTGGGCTCACTGCCATGCTCCCCTCAACCCCTGGAGCCCCTGCATGCCTGCAACCCATGTGCTAAGCCACAGTGACGGAGAGTTCACCCTGCCCTTGCTCCATCCCTCACTACTGGCTCAGGCCAGGATAATAAGCTGTCAACACTGCCCATCTCCTGCTGAGGTGTGAGGACAGCACTGCCCTGGCTCCTGTTGCCCTCCGCACACACCTCCCCCACTGGTGGCTGCTGGTTCCCACGGGTGGCTGATCCATGGTAGACAGAAGACAGCATCCCTGCAGGCCAAGCCCACTCCACCCCCCAGCTGGAGGCATCTGTAGCGGAACCCTATTTTTCTAATGCATAACCACAGGGATTTTAGTTCCCAGCATGCCCTGTGTTGGGGGGACTCTTCTGCAGGGCAACTGGGGCTTTTTTTGCTCCTGTCTCAGGCAATTGATAACATGGCAAGAAGCTTCCAAGAGCCGCCCTCAGTTTTTGAGTCTCCAGAGGGGATCGAGCAAGACACCTTAGATGATCAAGGAAAGGACAGAGAAGAGCAAACAGAATTGGATCCAGGGAATCCCAAAGCATCTGTCCTCCAGGGGAATCAGTGGGTCATAGTGGCCAAACTTATCCAAAGCCGGTGGAGCACAGGGTGCCATCTGCACCAACCCCCACATCTGGGCCTGGAGTCAGGGACAAACCTCTGCCACCCCAGCAGCCATCTGATCCCCATAATGAGGAGAAGGCACCTCATCATCCTTATTTCTGTCCCCATTTTAGCATCAAGGAACCCACAGAGCAGAAAGATTAAGTGATTTAGATAAGCCAGGGAGGAGCTGGGGCCTGCCCTGGCCCCTGGGATCCCATGTTGTTAACATGCCCCGGAGCCATCCCCACACTTCACCAGTACAGAGGAATGGGTTGGGGGAACCAAAACAGGTAGAAAGAGAAACAGAAAAGCCTGGAGAAGAAAGCCCCCAGGTCTTGAGTCTGCAAAGGCCTCTGGAGCATTGCGTGGCAGGCACTGATTCTGTTGGTTGAAGGGCACCTGTGTGTTTGCTGTCCCTGGGTATTTGCAGATCCCACAGCCAGGACTGGGCCACAATGACCTCTTCACCTGGGATTCCCTTCCTGCTGCTGCTGCTGCTGCTCCCACCCAAAGTCAGCACTCCCCACCAGGCCCAGCAGGAGTCCCTCAAAAGGCCCAGAGGGAAGGAGGTCTGCAGCCCTCCTGCACTGGCCTCAGGGACACGTTTGGTCCCCATCTGCCTCTTGCACGAAGCTGGCTGCACATCTGCGGGGGACGGGGTGCACACAGCCTTGAGAAGATGCTTCTCAGTGACAAGGAAAGACTGCTATCCCCTATCCATGGAATCATCGTTCCCCCATTTCTCACTGAACCTGCTCCTTCTCATCCTTCAGGTGTCAACTGAAAGGTCACCTCCCCAGGGGAAGGAGGCTTATTTCATCCTAATTAAAATAGGCATGCCCCTCCCCCAATGTCTCCCTGACAGCATTTTGCTTTCTTCCTTCCTAAAACACACCACTCATTTGTGAAATGTGTTTGGGCGTTAAGGGCCTCTCCCATCTTGGAAGACAGAGGCCATGGGGTCTTGTGTGCCTCAGTTTCCTGAGTGCCCTACAAGTCATGGCAGGGGTGGGAACAAAAGGAGCCAGGGCAGAGAGGCAATGGGAGGGAACACAGGGCCCAACAGGAGGAGGAGGAGCTGGCACAAAATCTAGCTATACATATGACACAACTAAGATAAAATGCCCCAGGTAGAGTTAAAACAAACGGGGGCGGGGGACCCGAAACGAAAGAGGTACCATGTAATTATCAACAACAACCACCACAAAAAAGCAGAAATAACCATATTTATGAGATAAAA